TCTGCGAGGGCAGATGTGTGAAGACCCACCGAGCCGCTTAGGGTCTAGGTGGTACCCAGAAGTGGCCAGGGTGCAGGAGGCTGGAGAGAGAGGTTAGAGAAGCGGAGATAAAAAGAGTTAAGTCAGTGACAAAACACGATTCAAGGAGTTTTCCCCTCTAGTAGAGCCTCTGTTCCAAGGTACTTTTCTACTCATAAATAAAAAAAGAGAATATTTTTTCAAAATTAGCAGTTTAAGAATATTAAACAAAAATCATACACAGTGCTTTTAAAAGAGTGGCTACAGGGGCGCCTGGCCGGTTCAGTGGGTAGAGCATGTAACTCTTAATCTCAGGGTGGTTGAGTCCAAGCTCCACACTGGGTGTGGAGCATCCTTAAAATAAAAAAATAAAGGGGCACCTAAGTGGCTCAGTTGGCTGAGCATCCAATTCTCGATTTTGCTTCAGGTCATGATCTCACGGTTTGTGAGATCAAACCCCGTGTTGGGCTCTCTGTGCTGGCAGCACGGAGCCTGCTTGGGATTCGTTCTCTGCCTCTCTCCGGCTCAAATGCTCTCAATATAAACTAAAAAAAAATTTTTTAATTAAAAAAAAAAAAAAAGCTACAGCCCTACTTCCCTCAGTTATCTATCCCTGAAATAAACCTAACCACCAAGCCTGTGCTCCTGTAAATAGACACCATCAATTACCTGGTGACAGCTACCAGACATGAAGGCAAAATGCCTCAGAGGAACTGAAAGTCTTCCAAAAAATTCGCTTTGCCATCTTTAACCCTTCTTAGTAATAGAAATGTCAAAACTGGTTTTTTTTTCTTTCTTTTTAGGTCTGGTTTTTAAAACCGAACATACTGCAAACTTACTGAAGCTAAAAAATCAAGTCGTCTAGGGCTGGCTCCTGCTGTGGAAAGAGCACTGAACTGGGAGTCTGGACACCTGCATTCCAGTCGTAGCTCAAGCACAGACTAACGGTGTGGCTCTGAATGAGTCGCTTCTACTTTCTGTGCTCAGTTTATTCTATAAAAGTATAGAGTTGAACAGATGATATCTTGGTCTATTTTACCTCTGAAATTTTCACTTCAACATCTAAAGAAATGAAAAGCATTATCATGCTGTCATGTGCACAAGATCCCCCAGAAAACTAGAGTTCAAACCACACACACTTGTGGGATTCTTTTACCTTGCAGTCGTGCTGATTACACAACTTCACAAAGGAAAACAAACACGGATAAAGTACCAAAGGAACGGCTCCGGGGGAGCGCTAGAGGAAGGGAAACTGATGTTGTCTTTACCTTCCCAGGCCACAGTGCCCTCCAAGGTGAGCCCCAGCTCAGCCGGAGCACCGCATTCTGAACATCATCATGAGCAAAAGTGAAACAAATCAAACACCTCCTACAATACTCTGAAGTTCTTCCTACTACTATACCTTTTCGAATTCCCAATCAGGTAAATTTTTTTTAACTACTGGTAAAAGCTGCCATGCACTTACTACTATACTTGCATCAGTTACAAAGTGTCGGTCAAATCTGGCCCGCAGCCTGTTTTTGTACAGCCCTTGAACTAAGAGAAGGTCCACATGCTTATGTAATTAAAAAAATTAAAAATATTTGTTGACAAGTGAAAATGATATGAAATTCCAATTTCGGTGCCTATCAAGTTTTATTAGAATGCAGTCATGCTCATTTGTTTTGTCTATGGCTGCTTTCTTGCTATGACAGAGCACAGGAGCAGCAGAAGTCTCAAACATGTTCCATCTGGCCCCTGATGGAAAACGTTTGTGACCCATAAGTTACACTACAACATGTATACCCACATCATTCTAATCAAACTTCCAAGGGTTATTCGATTATAAAGGACTTAAAGGTAAACCATGAATAGGGAAATCCTGAAAAAGCAAAAAATGATCATGTGGAATTTGGAGTTTTCAATGGAGATAATGCTGGCAGTGCCCTCCTGGGAGTGTGCATCCAACATACGGCTTTCAAACCCAGAATGAATGACAGCCCCTCGATCTCCCTGACTTCTGCCACTGTCTAAAAGAAGATGAGAAAATCTACAGAGCAAAATAGTATCATTGGAAAATACATCCAGGAACCAGAAAGGGGCTATGAAGTTAGGAAGTGTTTCCCGATGTCAAAATCTTGCTTTCTGATAAACATGTCCATACTTTCTGAGCCAAAAATAACTGGGGAAAAATGGTCTGAATAGTCTGTGTGTGCCCTGGGAGTTTCTGAACTTGGGATGCACTAAAGAAACGTGAGATTTGTTAACTGTGATGCTCACAGGTCGAGACTTCCATAGAGCCGAGGCTCAAACAGGTTAACAGACGTTCCTTCTGACGGACTTTTGATAAACGGAGTTAAAAAGACAAGAATTACTTAAAAGCTTAGAGGTTTTAACAAGTGGGTTACTGGGGCTGCGAAATCTGGGGATCAGGGTTTCTGGAACGGTGAGGCTACCTGCCTGGAGCACTGTCATGCCATAAACATTAAATAAATTTAGTATCTTGATGTCCTATTTCGCAAGAAGTATCTAGTCCCCCGTCAGCTTCTTAAAAACACATGGACTATTAAAATTTGAAGGATAATGGCAAATAAATGTGTTAATGACAACTAGGTCACATGCTCAGTTTTAAGACTTGCACATATATTCTAAAGACACTTTTATATTGCTTTTTGCTAGTACAACTCAGACAAAAGGGGCACCAAAGCTAAGACCAGTTGCGTTCACAGGGCCTATTCAGGAAAGATTGATGCTCTACCCTGGGTTTGAGCACTCACCTCTTCTCCCCCTGCTCTTCTTTATTCAGGTGCCTTCCCTCAGGTCAGAAAAATTCTCATTTCATTCGGGACTGGCTCATCAGCGGGTCTCCTCTTTGGTGCCTTCCCCTGACGGGTGATGTATTGACATGCACAGATCTCCGCAGCCTTCCTACTTCTTTCACAGGCCAATATGTGTCCCCCAAACTCCTAACATCAGAACTCACTCCTACTGTAGCACTTATGAGCTCCAACAATGTGGGACATGAATCGTTTTTTGGTCAAATGTGCAAGAGAAAGACATGAATGGCAAAAGCAACAGACCCAAGAGGCGCCTGGGTGGCTCAGTCAGTTGAGCGTCCAACTTCAGCTCAGGTCACAATCTTGTGGCTCATGAGTTCGAGCCCCATGTCAGGTTCTGTGCTGGCAACTCAGAGCCTGGAGCCTGCTTCGGCTTCTGTGTCTCCCTCTCTCTCTGCCCCTCCCCCGCTCACGCCGCGTCTCTCTCAAAAATGAATAAACATCAAAAATAAAAATAAAAAACGAAGCAACAGACCCTTGATGTGCTAAGTAAGGCTACAAACCTTCACAGTGATGTTTCTTCACACGACTGCCTCACTACTCATTAAACTATTGCAGCAAGCAGCCTGAGCTGTCCGTTTAGGAGACAATGCAGTTGGTCCAAAGTGAAAGAAAGGTAGTCTTTGAATCCTCAAGTTCCTATTTTCCTCATTTTCCCTTAGTGCTCTTATAGCTCCCGTCCTCTGAGAGTAAATCACGAAAGCCAGAAGAAGCCTGTTACTAGATCTATTCACATGCTTCCCCACATTTACTAGTCTCTAGAGTGAACGTGAAATGGAGGAAATGCGTGCGTGAGCCTGTTGTTCCGGAGGAGAAACCAGGGGGCACTGCCGTGCACATCTGCCCCACCTGGACTGGCTGACAGAACTGGGAGGCTGGAGGCTCCGAGCGGGAGACGTGGCAACAACAGGGGAGAGGGGTGGCCGCCAGCCTCCTTGTCAATCAGACACTTAAGCTTCAAACGAGAAAGATTAAGAGAGAAAAGCCTAAATATATCAACGTCACTTCTCACGTCTTGGCAAACCACGTTCTTTCCTCTGTTTCTCACAAACACATCAATCCATAAGGCGTATCCCTTTAAAATAATATTTCAGTCTGAACAGGGAAGAACTTGGAAGCAAAGAATGGTCTCTGGAAGCCGTGTAACTGATGAAAATGTATTTGGTAAATAGGAGACTTCTGAAAATGAGGAGTCACCAAATTTTTGCTTAATTTTTCCTTTCCTCAAAATTTTTTTTTAAATTTTTAATGTTCATTTTTTGAGGGGGGGGAGGGAGGGAGACAGAAAGAGAGAGAGAGAGAGAGAGAGAGAGCGCGCGCGTGTGCGCAAGAGCAAGCCAGGGAGGGACAGAGAGAGGGAGAGAGAAATCCCAAGCAGGCTCCACACAGTCAGCACGGAGCCTGACTCAGGGCCTAAACTCATGAACCATGAGATCATGACTTGAGCTGAAATCAAGAGTTGGAGCTCAGATGACTGAGCCACCCAGGCGCCCCTTCTTTCCTCACATTTTGAGTGGAAATGGGGAGTGGGAGGGCGGGGAGGGGGAAGGGAAGTATGTAGCTAAGCATGGCACATATTATCTTACAAGTGTATAGCTAGTAATTTCTGCTGTTACCAGCTGCTCAGGGAGTGTGATGTTTATTGAGAGACAGAGAGAGAGATAGGGCACAAGCAGGGGCAGGAGAGGGGCAGAGAGATAGGGAGACACAGAAACTGAAGCAGGCTCCAGGCTCTGAGCTGTCAGCACAAAGCCCGACGTGGGGCTTGAACTCACGAACTGTGACATCATGACCTGAGCTGAAGTCAGAGGCTCAACCGACTGAGCCACCCAGGCACCCCCGGGAGTGTGATGTTTAGAGAAAATGTTCATCATAACAGCGAAAAAAATCCATGTTAGAGGAGCAGATAAACATGTAAGTCACAGCAGAAACCACGTTAGTTAGGTACGTGCAGGAGAAAACAACTGGCCTTCTCAGAGAATAGATTTGCCCACAACTTTAAGATAGACTTCCTCTCATATAATACAAATCATACTGGTCTTCTTTCCTCACGACTATTATCTTCTTGAACAAAAAAATAATTTTCAAGGTGAGAAAGACAGAAACCAGAGGACTGCATTCACATCTGTGCAAAATATTTACTCCAGAAGACAAAAAAACTCAAGATCACGGTACACAGCAGTTATTTATTTAAATACTTGAAAAGTTCGATGATGGAAAAAAATAGGTTTATCATGAGAGTTTATATTCATTAGATTTACTTTACCATTTACAAAAGTGCTGCTTCTAGGTTATCCTAGCCGGATGGAGAACGGTATGACACATGCAGCTATTGTTAAGACACTAGAACAGACACAGCCACTAGAGAATGATGTACACACTTTGGGAAGAAATTCCATAGTAGGAATGGTGACTGTTTATTTAAACTAAAAACATTGATAATATACAAATCTTTTTTTCTCATTTGATTGAAAGGGCTATAAAATTCAACATACAGACAAAGGAAGCAACATAATCATATAGGCAACGCCTCTGCTAATTGCCAGGAACTCACTCCTTCCTTAAAGAAGCACTTCAACACTCAGCTGTGCAATTTTCTAGACTGCACGATGGCTTCAAGGCTGACCTACCATGAGTGGCTGAAGGAGAAGTGTAAGCTGACATGACTCATCTGTTTTTAAAAATGGAGAGAAAATGGCCAATTGTGCCTCGTGTTCTTTGAAGAACCCAGAGGGATCATTCTAAGTAAAATGTGAAATAAATAAGTAATCCATGAGTAAATACAATCTCTGAGCTTAGACCTAGGAGAATGAGCCAACTGAACACTAACAATACCATGTAGAAACGTCTAGAAACATCATTTCTAGAATTCAGTGTGGGAGACCATATCTTGCCTGAATATGTACATTATTTACAAAATATTCCCTTTTGGCCTCTGAAATTTAGCCATTTTAGTTTGGCTGTTAAGCTGTTTCTTTCCAATGCTAGTCAATACTGCAGTTATAACTATCATTAAAATACTCTTATGCATGAATTACAAATATTAATAAAGTAACTCTGCATGTATAAATATCTCAATATTTCTAGCAGAATTTAAAGCATACATAAATACATAAAAGTATTTGTTTTTGGTGGGGCCAGTATTTTTTTTTTTTTTTAATCATCGCTGTTTCAACAATGCTCTGTACATTGCAAAACCCAAAACTGCAAAAACAGTAGCACCAAAACTTGCTCGAAGCCAAAACGTGGAGCTCTTGAGGTCAGCTTGTGTCACGTGCCTGTAGTTAGAAAATATAATTAATGTTCAAAACATGATTAGTATGAAAATACCAATTATATGAACAGTCTACTTTTAGGGAAGTATTAGCACACTTGTCAGGCTAATTGCATACAGTAAGGCTTACCAAAATCATTTATCCATGTAGCCACATGTACATTGTTTATATCATCATTATCTTACGATATAATGTAGACATTAATAAAGACAAATGTCTTTACAACTAGCTACTATCTGGGAGTAATAAACATCTAAAATTGTGTGTTTTCTTCACATGGGAAATGGAGAACATAGACAAATCAACCTACCAGTTTTTAATACCATCACAGTCCTTCAAAATGAGAGGTAAAACTGAGATCTCACAATTTTGAGAGTCAATTTCATGGGACTTAATATACAATCTCCTGTCCCCGGGAATTGAAAGCTATCTTGTAAGCAGTTAAGCGACAAGTGACAATACTTTTCTAAGAGCATTGCTTAAAATCAACTTTGGGAACACTGAGCCCCATAAAAATTTACCAAAAAAATCCCAAAGGGGATGGGGAAGGTTAACCAGCTCACATTAATCTGGTTACTGCTGATTAAAGAAAGAAAATTTAAAAAAACAACAACAAACAAAAACAACCCTGATTATTAGACAGGCAGTGACAATGGTACCAACCAAAGGACATAATGAAACAAGATGGACTGAAAGGTAAATGACGTAAAAGAAGCCATATTGTGCATGACAAGAACAGGGACAGCCTGTACCACAAACTGAGTTTGTGAGCATGCTCAGTTAATAACACTGCTAAGCACCGTCAAGAGTCTCAAGTATGACAGCTTACCATAGAGAGGATAAAGCTTTAAAGCAAAGGCTGGAATATTTTATTCAAGTATCACTGAACTTTGAGTTAACTGAACACAATTGAGGAGATACAGAAAATTTAGAGAATTAGGAGTTTAGAGAGGCTGTCTAGTTTAGGTTATTTTACAACTAAGTGAAACAAACAGATTTGAAGCAAAAGTCAGACATCATTAAAAGACCAAGACACTGACATATGCAAAAGAGTTAAGAGCCAAGAATATCAATTGTACAAAACTACTTTGCCTCAGCAATAGTCAAAGGGTGACAATCAGATTAGTTATCACAAAATGCAACCTGCGCATCTCTAGAAACAGTCTGTAATACAAGCCAGAGTGCTCCATGCTTATCACCATGGCAACACAACACACAGCACTCCCATTTCTTATCCTCCCCAGTTCCTAAAAAATAAAAATAAAAATCACTCCTGACATAAGTATTATTTTACAAAGCAAAGTGGTAACACAGGTTCATTCCACCTTGTGAGTTAGTTCTTCCAACAGGCAATGCTTAATTATTTATTTTAAGTTAGGGGAAGAAAATTCTTCGGTTTCAGTTTTTCCAGTTGGAAAAACTCCACCAAGGCCAACCCGCTGGTTGGGGGAAATGTTACCTGGCTTCAAGAAAAAGTGGACCATGAGATGACTCCATGAAGATGGAATCTTCTACAGAGCTGACGGCGTGCACCTGGTGAGTAATACTGCCTTCGTCGTCTGCTAACAGCATGGCACCCCACTCAGCTACCCGGGCTCTTAACCTTTTATATACACATGCACACAATTTGCAGTTCACAGCAGAGCTCACAAAAGTGGGGGACTGAAAATAACATCTCTCAATTAAACATCGCACACACAAATTGAGTCGCCACCATAATAGGATGCATCTCATGCTTTCTGTATTTAAATAAATATATCCTGTAACAAATTGCCCAACTTAAAAAAAACACCTATCTATGTGTACTTTTTAAAAACACTCACGTACCAGGCAAGGAAACCTAAGGCGGTTATATACAGTATCTGTATATCCCTTAGAGGCTGGTCTTGGTTGACCCAAAACACTAAGGGAAGCCCTTGAAAGCACTACCAAAAGCAGTATCTGACAGTTATGTGGTGACCGTAAGTATTCATTCAAAATGAGGCTAACAGCTATTAGTCATGAAATTTACTGAGGCTTCTAATTGCAGACTACCAACAACTGCAAACATGCATCTGTAAAAAATCAGGTCCAACATCCCAAACTCATAGACTGTAACAGACCTACAATGAGAGTTTCAAAGTGCCTAATTCCAAATCAATTAGAGATGCACAGAATTTAAAGTGAGAACACTGGCTACAAGTGCATTAGAGCTTCTGCTTCAGCTTTGGGCTCTCTGTGATTTTTTATTCATCTTTACTGATGGAGGATTAAAAAATGTTTACATTCATTTTTTAACCTGGGCAAGAGAGGGGTTAGTGTTAAAGCTAGCTGCCATCACATTAAAATCAGTCACAATGATTTCTTATAAACATTTTTTCAAGTATGGAATCTGTTTTCACACAGCTCCTTTTTTTGTATTTTAAGAAAGTATTCCCTACCATTCATGACATAATATATTCTGACTTTACTGCTTGGTTTACTTTTGCATGTCAGATAGTAATTATAGTGATTATTATTTTCCCCCAACTATAGTATAGCCTCCAACAGGCAGAACAGCAGTTCATACTCCTGTATGACAAATAATATAGATACATACTCTAGATACAGCTAGTTTAAAACTTAAGGCAACTATTAACTCATAAAATATGCTTCAATGACTCCATAACGTTATAGTGGTTATTTAAGACACTTTTAGACATGAAAAGCTACTTAGACACCCATTTTACGCCTTTAGCATGTGCTTTTAACAGCTGCCCTAAGCAGGCTCTCCATCTAGGAGAAAGCATTTATACCGGATGGCACATTTGTCATTGATTAGCTGACTGACAACACCTGACTAGAGAACAGTGTGAAGATCTGAACTGTATTCCAGAGTTATCAGCACTGGGCCACATTTCTCATTTCAGGTCTCAAGCAGAAACGGAGTAACGGTTTCAGAGAGTTGCTTCCTACTTCATTTCTAAACTCAAGAAAAAATAATCCTTCCACAATTCAAAAGTGTAATCCTTTCAAAATGACTCACCTAAAATATCATCTTAGAATAAATTATAATATCTTATGGCATACTTTTTCTTTCTTTTTAAAGTTTATTATTTTTTTTACTGTCAAAATACAATATATGTTCATGATAAGATACGAGGAAAATAAAAGAAGGAAGAAAAAAATCACCTAGAGTCCCATCACTTGAAGCAACTGATTAAAATTTAGGGTACTTCCTTTTAGATTTTTTTCTGTGTGCTTCTTACATTGCTGCAAATACAATATGTATAATTTATATACTTTTACATCCTTTCTATAAGGACTTTTTCATAATTCCAGAAACATCATTTTAGACAGCTTTATTATACTCCATTCCTATGGGTGGCCACCTCCACTATGAAGTGATCAATATCCTTCCATGTAAGATTTTTCTCCATATTTAGTGGTTTCCTTAGGACAGACTTCCCAAAAATGAGTATTACAGGGTCAAAAATGAGTGTGCATTTGTGTGTATAAAGATTCTTTTTAAAAATACCTACTGATGTACCAGAATCACATTTTCCTTCTCTGCGTGGAATAATTTAGTTCAGCAGTATCTCTTTTTAGAATATAAGAAATCATTACTAAATACTAGAATATAACTTAGTTAATCATTTGAAGCTTGTCAGAGCTTCTAAGTTCTTAGGTGGAAAATTCCTGCATATTGGATGCTGGCTTTCTGCTTAGAAGTGCTGAGGGCTCATATGTCAATCAGATGACAAGTGCTACTTTTTCTTTTTCTTTTTTTTTTTTTTACGTAGGCTCCACACCCATTGTGGGCTTGAACTCACAGCCCTGAGATCAAGAGTCACACACTCCACTGGCTAAGCCAGCCAGGCCCTGCTACTTAATAAGGCAAAGAGGAGGAAAGGTTTCAAACGTCAGGCAATAAAGACTTAAATGAAGAGGTGTTTGTGTGAACAATCACATAAGGCATATAACAGAATGACCAAAATTCCTATGTATCTTTGCACAGAATGCCTTAAAGAAGGCATACGAGATACTTTTGATTCACTCTGCAATTTATTGCGTATATAAGAACATGAGGTGAAATCTTTATTGGTTCAATGTATTTAACCAATCATAAAGGGAATGTTATCAGCTGCAATATTTAGGAACAAAACAATCAAACTCTAAAGGGCTCAATGGAATTAAACCCATTCTAGCTATTCCCAAATAGGGTACTTTTAATATTGTTTTTTATAACGTGTCATGGAACTTTACATCTGGGGCATAAAAACTCTATTGCAAAGACTTAAAGTCTGCAAAAATTAGAATTTAAGGAAAGGGGAGAATTCAGAAAGGTCAAGGTATCAATTAACCTTGCCTGGGATTGCAGGCTATTATGAGGTGGAAGGAAAAGTTCAGTAGAACACAGTCAAGAGCAGTAGCACTAGGAGATCTGCAGGAAGAACAGTTCCAGCCAAGTACTTCTCAGCATTCCCATACAGCTTTTCAGAAATAAGTGTGGATTTCCTAGCTTCTGTTTTTCTCATCTTACCGTCTGATCCTTTCCAAACCCAACTCAGAGGTGTACAAATGCAGTAATATTAATGTACTTTTAATTTCATAATTCTATCCACTTACATATCTCAAGTATGAATTTTTAAGTTAATACTTTGAAACAGCCTATTTAACTATACTGTGTGTAACCTAGTTACTAGGGCTCAGAGATATCACATATAGCTTTTTCCTAGTTGCAAAAACATATCTCAAATTGAAAACTGTACCGAGGTCACCAAAACTATAGTTAAGTGTTCTGTTTTTAAATATTTCACTCTTGGGGCGCCTGGCTGGTTCAGTCAGCTAAGCATCCAACTTCAGCTCAGGTCACGATCTTGTGGTCCATGAGTTCGAGCCCCGCATCGGGCTCTGGGCTGAGGGCTCAGAGCCTGGAGCCTACTTCAGATTCGGTGTCTCCCTCTCTCTCTGCCCCTCCCCCATGCTCACTCGCTCTCTCTCTCAAACATAAACATTAAAAATAAATAAATAAATAAATAAAT